GGGAGGTGGCTGAACTTGTACTGGACAAAGTTGTTGACGCCCTGAAAGGTGAAAGACGTGGATGGAACAGAGAGGAATACTTTACTGATCACACAGAGGGGAAATTCACTAATCCAGACAACACTGAGCAATCAGTGCTGAAAGGAAGTTTTTCCTTGCCTGTGTCGCCTAGTGCTTGCTCATGGTGGGAATTGTTGGGTTTCTGTAACTAACTTCAGAGTAGTGTCTGACCTGCTCTGTTTGGAAAGCGCTGTGAGACAACTGTTGTTGTGATGTGGCGCTATATGAATAAAACTGAATTGAATTGAATTTAATTGAACACTTAACCCGCACATCATCGAATACCCCCCCTTAACACTGAAATTGCACATTCTACTTGCACTAAGTCAAAACACACTCACTCACACTGGACTGACTCAAAGCACACACACATACACACTCACTTGACTCAAAAGCGCACACACTGAACCAACTCAAAAACATACATACACACACACACGCATGCTGCCGCTTTCTTGATGCCTGTTACTTGAATGACTTTATTGTACAGTAAATATTGCCCATTACAATTGATCACTTTATATCTATTATATCACACAATTTTCTTATTATATGTCCAATTTATCTAACTTATCTTATTTATGTCTACGTCTGCACGGGAAAGCGAGAAACGAAATTTCAATTCTTTGTATGACCAACGCATGTAAAGAAATTGACAATAAAAGCCTACTTGACTTGACTTAAAGATAAATTGGAAGGCTCTCTGGGAGTCATGTGACTTACCTGTTCAATGCTGGGCTTCTCAAAGGGAGGGCTCTCTTGTGCTTCTAACATTGGTTTCCCCATTTGTAGGATGGATTTTCTTAGCAGCTGAAAGGTGCACGGAAAAAGAGTCAGTGGCCTCGAACGGTGGGTGACAAAAAAACAAAAGGCGGCAAACTAAAGAAGTTACTTTAAAGAGGGAAAAGTAGACTTGTTTAGTGTCGGCGTCCTCCTCTTTGTGCACGCACGTGTACAGGTACTCCACGTCCAGGACGATGCCCAGGAGCCGGTTCATCTCCTCCTCCGAGACGTTCTCCAGATGGGTCACGTGATCACCTGTCGGAGAAAGAGGAGGGCAGCTGTAAATATGTGTGTTTAGGGGGGTCCACGCCTCTGTGTGTGTGTTTGTGTGTGTGTGTGTGTGTGTGTACCCAGGGTGTGGGAGCAGCTCCGGCAGGGCTCCTGCAGGTTGACGGTGCTGGTCTGCTGCTCGGTCTGGGGGGGCGTCGGGGGGGGGTTCTGACTCTTCCAGCCGTTACACTTACAAGCCCCCTCGGCCTGGGGAGAAACAAAGTCAGGCTTAAACACCTCCCAGTGTGTGTGTGTACACAGAGATATGCTTTTAATTTGATTAAAAACTAACTCAGATAAACATTTGTAAAGTGTCATTTCAAAATAATGTGTTTGACGTAAATTATCTAAAATAATTCAGAGTATACAGCACATTTTGGCTTCCATATCCATCATAAAAAGGTGCTTATTGGGACTTAAAGTGCAGCCGGGTGAAAGGGAACCAGCGCCGTCAGCTGGAAGAGCTCTGCGCATGCGCACTGAGACAACAACAAACTCCGCCCCCCCCCCGGCAGCTGTCACCCTGTCAAAACAAAGACCCCGTTCCTCTCTGCGGACCTGACGCCGCACAAAAAACCGAAATAAAAACTCCCGTACGCGGGTTCGGACGCTCCGAAATATAACAAAACCACACACGAACGCCACGGAGCACCAGTTCCCGTGCCTCCCCACCCCCCCACACACACACACACCGTGACAGAACCATAGTGGCACCGTGGAAAAACCGCGGACAGTTTGCAGCTGGAAGGCCCCAGCGGACGCGGTCCCGGTGCGTTCAAAACACCCCCAGAGAGGAGGCCTAAAAACGGATCCTCCTCCGGAAAACAAGCGAGCCATAACCAAGAAAAAGAGAGAAAAAAAAGCAAAAAAAAGTGCAGCAATGGCTTCCTTTGCTGCGCTTGCATTTGGTAAAAAACTATTGGAGGATTCCTACCCCCCCCCCACCACCTCCCACCCCCCCCCCCCCGGGTGGCGCATACTTTGCAGGAGGAATACACCCCGAGCTTCTCCAGCTTCTTGGGCCGCGGGGACGCGCGCAGCTGCGCCTTTTTGGCCGCGATCCGCGCGGCTCCCCCGGCCGCCCCGGAGCCCTCGGTGCCCCCGGGCCCGGGCCCGGCCGGGACCAGCCCCGCGGCCCCCACGGCCGGAGAGCCCTGCTGAAGCCCGGTTCCGTCGGCCATGGTCGGATCGCGGCGGAAACCCCGGTGGGGAGCGCAGGGCGCAGGGGTGGGGGGGGGGGTGGGGGGGGACCCCCCGGGGAAAAATGCTCCGGTCCGTCCCGTCCCTGCTACTCCGGCCGCGGAGGATCAGACATGGCGCTCATCCTTATTTTCAGGTTCCGTAGAGGCTGCAGGCCCGTTTTCCTCCGCTAGGGGGACTCTCGGGATAGGGTAGAATTCAGAGAGGTCGCAAAATGCAACCGATTGGAGCAAAAAAAAAGAAGAAATTCAAGGTTAAATAAAGGAGGGGGTGGGATATGGGGGGGTCCTGTGCAGCCAAGTTTGTTCACCAAAAACACACAAAAGACCGAAAATACAAAGATAAAAAAAGGATGAACTGTCATTTTCTGTAAAAAAAAAAGCAGAGAAAAAATAAAAAGTGAGCCCACACACAAAACCAGCCCGCTTACAATGATAAATGATCAAATTTATTTCAGTATTTATTTGGTCATTACATAACAGTACTGTAAAATGCTTGCATTTTAAATGTTTCCTGCTGCAAATAAGTGTTCACACAGGGAAAAAAAACAAAAAACAAAAAAAACAAAACAATTTACATCCTTATTATGTCTTCATTCGTTTCATTTGAAATCCTCTGACCGGTGCTTTCTGAGGTCAAAGTTCAGGCCACCTACCAGGAGCACGAGTACAAGGCATTTGTAGTCCAGACCAAATGATAAGAAAAAGTCTATAACAAGTTTTTCTTTTTTTTTGGGAGAAAAAAGGGGGGAACGTGACGTCTAAATAAATGCAATTAGATTTTGGTAATTACACTACATACAGAAACACCATCACTGATTATGATTAAACCATACGTGTGAGAAAAGGAACAGCAACAAAAAATCCAAACCCAGATTGTAGCCGTTGTCCTGGTAACTGTACAGTTGTTTTTTCTTTTTCTTTTATTTTTTTGTGTGTGTGTGTAAATGATTATCAAGACATCTCCCTAGCAAGCATTAGTCCTGTCACAGGTAAATCAAAAAAAAGGTAGACTACACTGCAACACCGTATTTACAGTATATTATTTATATATTTATATTATGTATATATTTATATCACACTGGCTGTAATTATGACGAGATAAATTCA